CAGGCTGAGGCAGGGGGAAGGGGGAGGGGAGAGGAGAGAGAAGGGGAGAGGAGGGAAGGGCAGGGAGGAAGGCAGCTCTGTGGGGCGGGGATATTCCAGACCATGGGAGGCCGAATGGGGTCCCGCATGTGCCTCTGCCAGGCCCAGGGTCCCCTCCCAGACTCCCTTCCCCCCCTCCCCACCGGTCTGGCCCTCCCTCCCTTGCCCTCCCTGGCCCTGGGTCCCATGGGGGCACTGGGGCCTCTGGTCCTTTCTGGGGAGGGGCCTTGGGCAGTGACGTAACTGCTTGGAAGGGGGCGGTGTCTGCAGGTGTCATGTCCTGTGTCCTGGGGCCACCCCAGACAGAAGGTTCCTGGAAACCCGTCAGAGGGCGGGGCTCCGTCTGCTGGTCCCCAGGGGGAGCACCTGTGGCTGGACGCCTGGGGGACCCTTGCTTCTCACTCTCCTCCCTGGGAGGAGGCGCCCAGAGCCCCCGGAAAGGCCCCCTGTCTCCCACAGCCCCCCGGGAGGCGGAGGGCGGGCCCCCAATGGGAACTGCACACAAATCGTTAGTGGGTGGACAGGGCGGGCCGGGCGGGCCCTCAGGAGCAGGCTGAGAAGACAGAATGGAGGAGGAAGAGGATCCGCCTGGCGGGCGAGGCTGGGAGGGTGACTTCCGAGGGGCATGCCTGGCCCTGTGGGGCGTGCTTCAGGGGTGAGGTAAGGAGTGTGTGTATGTGTGTTCGGGGGAGGGGGGGGGCTGAGCTCCTGGTGGCCCTGCCTGGCCCATCTCTGGGCCAAGGGAGAGAGCTGGCAGGCACCCTCGTGGCAGGGGCCTGGGCGTGGAGGGAGGGTGTTTGAGATCCCTGAGGAATTTGGGGTTCTCTTCTCATTAACCCAACTAGGTCCCCACTGGGAGCCCATCCCAGCCTCTGGGGCCTCCCACTGATGGGACCAGGTGCTCCCTTCCGGGGTCCCTGTCTCCATCCCAGTGCACGGCCCAGGCTTGTGACTCCAAGATTTACCGTATTTTTCGGACCATAAGACGCACTTTTTCCCCCCCAGAAGTGGGGGGAAAAAGTCCCTGAGTCTTATGGTCCAAATATAGCCTACACATATACTTTAAAAAAAAAGTTTTTTTACTTGCCCGGCTCTGTGTGGTCTCTGTGTGCTTGCCCGGCTCTAAAATGGTTCTAAATGCTGCTGTTTACTTTACAGGGTTGATTACATGTGTTTATGACTGTGATGTTGGGTTTTAATGCACATAAACTATTTTAGGAAACTATTTGTTTCAGAATCTTTTTTTCTTCATTTCCCTTCTCTACAAACTGGTGCGTCTTATGGTCCGGAGCGTCTTATGGTCCAAAAAATACGGTACTTAGCACCTACAGTAAGGTGACCAGACGTCCCGCTTTTGGCCGGACAATCCCGATTTTTAACCATTTGTCCCGCATCCCGCGAAGTTTTAAAAACGTCCCGATTTTTTTTGAAAGATTCTTTTAAATCTTTTGTACTTTTTTTTTAAAACGCTGGGACAAATGGTTAAAAATCGGGACTGTCCCGCCAAAAGCGGGACGTCTGGTCATCTTAACAACTGCTGCTCTGGGCTGTGGGGGGCTGGGGTGTGGTGGGCATTAACGGGGGTGGGGGGTGACAGTTCACGCGGGGGGTCCCATAGGAGCCAAGGTCAGCTGGGCAGCTATGGCTCGGGCCCCGTCAACACCAATATGCCCTTATGGAACCTCAGCTGTGTCCTGGGGCCCTCGGGTGGCCTAGACCTGTGCCCCCCTCACCATCATGGGGGGGGTGACGCAGGGACCCTCCCGCAGCACCTGGTCCTGCCCCAGTCCCCCCGTGAGCAGCCCCGGAGAGGAGACTCATGACCTCCAGTTAGTCCAGCCTCGGGCTGGTGTGAGGTCCCTTGGGGATGCTGGGAGCCATTCCCTGGGCCTCCCCTTCCTGTTCCTCTCCCCCCTGTGCTGGGTTCCCAGCAGCCTCTGGGGCTGGATCTCGCCCTCCTTTTCCTCTCGTCCTCTCAGAGGGCCAAGATGCTGACGCCTGTGGGGGCTGCCAGGGGCCTCTCCCTGCCGGGGGTGGAGGACAGGCCCAGGCAGGAGGCATCGTGGCCGAGAGGCCCTCTGCCGGCTGCTGCCAGGCCTTCCTCCCCGGCAGGGAGCGTGGGAGCCGCGTGGGCCCCGGGTCCAGGCCTGGCTCTGCCGCTAATGCCCGGGTCCGGCGCCCTGAGCCTGGGTTTCCTCCCCGGAGTGCCGTCGGGCAGAGCCGGTGAGGGCTGACCCTGGGCTGCGAGGGGGACATGCTGGCCCCCTTGGACCTGCCAGGGGTGGCCCACACTCCGGAGATCCAGAGGGCGAGCGGCCTTCCTGGGGTCTGACTCTGCCCTTTCGCCTGGGAAGAGGGGCTGAGGGGGCCTGTCTGTCAGCACTTGGGCCTTCCTGCCGGAGGGGGCTCCGCAGAGCCACGCAAAGGGCCCCAGAGTCACTGGTGCAGGGAGACTGAGGCCCAGTCCTGGGAACGCAGCCTGACGCCAGGGTGAGGGGGCTGGAGAGGGGCGAGTGGTGGTGATGGGGCCGAGGGTTTGGTGGTTTTGAAGGGAGGGGAAAGGTTGACAGATTCTTTGCCCCTTTATTAAAAATAAATAAATAAATAAATAATAAAAAAAGATTTTAGAGAGAAAGGAAGGGGGGGGAGGGAGGGAGAGAGAGAGAGAGACATGGATGAGAGAGAAACATTGATCGGCTGCTCCCACACTGGGGATCCAGCCGGCAACCTGGGCGTGTGCTCTGACCGGGAATTGCACCGGCGACCTTTTGGCGTATGGGTCGACACTCGACTATTGAGCCACACCGGCCAGGCTCTCTGCCCCTTTAAACTGAGCCTCCAGGCCAAGGCCTAGGGACTTCGGAGGCGGGCTCCAGGGAGAGGCACTGCAAACAGTTGGTGCCTCACGGCCTGGCCCCTGCCCACATCCCTGCTCTGCCGAGGTTCAGTGCTGGAGGTGGGCATCCCTCTGTGAGGGAGGAGGCCTGCCTGGGGAGGGGAGGAAGCCGGCAGCCTGGGGGAGGGGTTCTGGGAGTGCAGCTCCGGCAGGGGCTGGCGGGGCCTCTCTTCACTGCATGTCCGTCTGTGTGAGGGCACCGCGGGGGCAGGGCCTGCCGCTGGCGCACCGAGGTGACCTCAGGTTCTGTGGGTTCCCTCTCCTCCCCCAAGACAGTGTTGGAGTGCCAGGAGTCCTTCCTTTAAAAAAAAAAATTAAAAAAAAAATATATATAGATTTCAGAAAGGAAGGAAGAGGGAGAGAGAGAAACATTGATGATGAGAGAGAATTATTTAAAAATATATATATATTTTATTGATTTTTTACAGAGAGGAAGAGAGAGGGATAGAGAGTTAGAAACTTCGATGAGAGAGAGTCATCAACCAGCTGCCTCCTGCATAACCCCTACTGAGGATATGCTTGCAAACAAGGTACATGCCCTTGTCCGGAATTGAACCCGGGACCCTTCAGTCCACAGGCTGACACTATCCAGTGAGCCAGACCGGTTTTGGCGAGAGAGAATTATTGATCGGCTGCCTCCTGCACGCCCCCTACTGGGCACGGAGCCCACAACCTGGACATGTGCCCTCCCAGTTCATAGGCTGAAGCTCAACCAAGGAGCCCCGCGGGCCGGGCTGGGAAGTCCTCCTTGGTGTCTAACCTCATGGAACAGCCCTCGTGGCCTGACCTTGGCTTGGAGCCCCTTCCCTCCACCCCCCAGCCACCCTCAGAGCCCCCGGACGTCTTGGGCAGGGCGGAAGCAGGGGACAAGATGGGGGTTCGCCTCGTCTCTCCCTGGTGGCACGCCCTGTCCCCACTCTCCAGGCCAGGAAACCCCGTGGTGAGAGGCACCCGCTCTCCCAGCAGAAAGTCTCACAGGGGAGCTCGCTCCGCACGGAACCGCTGCCTCCCTCCCTGTCCCTGCAGGTGGCGGAGTGCCCAGGCCACCCACGAGCTTTCCGGGGGCCCCCGGCTCGCCCGCCCTGCCCGTCCCGCCGGCCCTGGCCTCCCTTCCCGCGAAGCTCCCCGGGCAGACGGGCCTGTGCCGCCAGCGCGCTGGCAGGGCCTAAATCATTAGCGCCGCTGAGATTAGGCTGGTAATCGCCTCGTCGGCAGGCGGTGGCAGGCGCCAGCCGCCAGGATGTGGGATCCTGCTGCTCCTGACAGGGCGGGGCGGGGTGCAGAGCCCACGGAGGGGCACCCTGCCCCCCAGACCCTGCTTCTCCCCCTCCTGCCTCCTAGTGGGGGGCCCTCGGGAGGGGCTTTCTTCAGGTGCTGGGGCGGGGCGGGGATCCTCCTCTCCAGAGTCCCTCAGAGATGGGGAGGCAGGCATGACCCCCATTTCACCAAGGGGGAAGCTGAGGCTCACCACCTGACCCCCTCTAAGATCCAAAGCTCCCGGAGGTCAGCCAGCCCTGTGTCTATTCCCCTCAGACAAGGGGCTCTCCGGCCAGGGCCACAGACTTGGGAGAGGACCCCAAGAGATCTGGGGGCTTCCCGGGTCAGAGGGGGATTCACCCTCTCAGCCCGAGGGGCTCCTTAGGGTGCTTGGGCCTGGGTGAGGGTGCCCCCGCCCCCCCCAGTCTCACCATCTCCTGGGGACCAGGAATGCAGGGTGGGGGGCCAGGGCAGCCCGGGGCTCAGGCCTGTGCAGCCTTGTTCTGGGCCTTTTCTGGCTCCTGGGCTGGGCTCTGGGCTCCCCCTAGATGAGCTCAGAGGCCTAATTGCCGCTGATGGAGGATCACCCTGGCCCGGGGCTGCGGCTCCAAGGCCACCTTTGTTCTCGAACAATGGGCTCCTGAGAGGCTGGCCTGGGCCTCGGGGGGGCCTCAGCACGGCCAGCCTGAGCCCCAGGCCCTGGGCGGCTGATACAGCAGCAAATTGCGGGGCTGGGGTTCTGGCTCTGACTTCAAGGACCCGGGGCCCAGCTATAAAGGGCTGCCCAGGGTCTCCGTCCAGCCCAGACTCTGCTCCTGACACCATGGCCGCCACCACCACCAGCTTCCGTCAGTTCTCCACCTCCGGCTCCCTCAAGGGCCTGGGCTTGCCCACCGGGGGCTTCTCCCGGGTGTCCACGGTCCGCGTGGGGGGCGCCTGCCGGGCCCCCAGCAGCAACATGTCGGTCACGTCGTCCCGCTTCCTGGCGGGCATGGGGGGCGGCTACGGCGGGGGCTACTCCTGCAGCCTGGGTGGGGGCTACGGCCCTGGCCACAGCGTGTCGGACGCCCTGCTGGGGGGCGGCGAGAAGGAGACCATGCAGAACCTCAACGACCGCCTGGCCTCCTACCTGGAGAAGGTGCGCGCCCTGGAGGAGGCCAACGCCGACCTGGAGGTCAAGATCCGGGACTGGTACAAGAAGCAGGGCCCCGAGCCGACCCGTGACTACAGTCACTACTTCAAGGCCATCGAGGAGCTCAAGAGCAAGGTGCGTGGGCCAGGCGGCCCCCTGCCCTCTGCCCTCTGCCCTCTGCCCTCTGCCCTTGCTTGGCACCTGCTTCTGTCTCATCCCATCCCACCTGAGTGAACGTTCTTGAGGTCTCCATCAGGCATCCACTTCCTGGTCTCAGGCCCGGAGGACACTCCAGGAAGGGCGGTTGTTTGGAGTTCTCTCTTTCGGGGGGAGGGGGAGGGCGTGTGTTTGGGTGGTGATGGAGGAGCAAGCAGGGGGGTGCTTCAGAACCTCGAAGGCAGCAGACGGCATCCCAGGTATAGAGGGTGGCGCAGGCAGAGGCACAGAGGTGGGTGAGAGTTTGGTGCTGGCTGCTGGGGGACGGAACCCGAGCTGGGAAGGCATCGAGCCATTCCCCTCTGGCTCCGCCTGCCTCACCTCCTCCAGGCAGCCCTCCTGGGTGGGTGGCACTTGCCTCACCCCCCACCCCCCCAGATCTTGGGGTTCCTTCAGCACGTCAAGGTTCAGTCGAGGCCCTGAGTGTTGTGCGGATTTCGCTGAGGGTGGCAGGTCCTCGTGGCTGCCTTCGTGGTGGGTCCTCCTCACCCCCTCTGGGCGGGTCATTCTGGGGGTTCCTGAGGGCGGAGCCCGGGTCTCTCTTGGAGATGGGGGGGGGGTCCCGGAAGGAAGGAGCTGTGTCCTTCCTCTCAGACTGGAAGCTTCAGGGAAGGGATTTCTCTTGGTCTGATGGGTCTCTCTCTCTCTCTCTCTCTCTCTCTCTCTCTCTCTCTCTCTTTCTCTCTCTCTCTCTCTCTCTCTCCCCCCACCCCTCCCTCTAAGATAAGATGACCAGACGTCCCGCTTTTGGCAGGAAAGTCCCGACTTTTAACAATTTGTCCTGCGGCCCACTGCCTTTTTTAAAAGTCCCGATTTTTGGAAAGAAAAATCGGGACTTTTTTTTAAAACGCTGTGGGACGCGGGACAAATTGTTAAAAATCGGGACTGTCCTGCCAAAAGCGGGACGTCTGGTCACCTCCCTCTAAGAGCATGGCCTTGGCATTCTGTGAAGGAGGCACTGGGTTTTCTGCACGAGCCCGCCCTTGCAGGGTCCTACAGTGTTGCAACCCCAGAGGCAGCTGGGAGGCCCATGAGAGCCAGAGAGCCCGGCTGAGGGCAGCGGGTGGGGCCCGGCTGGCGCCCGTGGTCAGGCTTGCCGATTCCTGGTGGAGCACCGGGCGTGGTGCTGGCTCTCGGGGGGCTTTGCGGGTTCCTGCCCGGGACCGGTGCCCGGCGGGGAATTCCTGCAGCCGCTCCCTGGCAGCAGGGCCACGGGGAGAGCCAGATCAGATAGATACCGGGCTTGGTCTGGGCCACGGGGCGCCCGGGAGAGCCCCTATGAGTCAGCGTGTTCCCCAGTCCGTTCGGGGTCGGCCAACTCCCCAACACCAACCCCAGTGCCCCCTGCACCCCCGCCTCCGCCCCTCTGAGTCACCGTGCCCCTCAGGGGTGTTGGCAATGGCCCCGGCGCCCCTCACCAGGCCCGGACAGCATCCTGAGCGGGGAGGTGAGAGGGACGGACCCACGGAGGCCTGCCTCCCAGAGCGGCCCCCGGCTCAGCCTGGAAACCTGGGGCCGGAGCCAGGAGGAGCCGACCGCCGAAGCTTCCCTCTCTGCACCTTCTGCACTCCAGCCCTCAGCCTTCCCAAAATTCCAGATCGCACCCTCCAATCCGGGCCTCGCTCTGCCCACCAGCTCCATGGGTCTTGGCTGGAGTTTCTCTTGGGCATTTCTCACAACAACAACGACGACGACAGCAGCAGTAATAATAACGGGCCCTCTGCTCCTTCGCGAGTCTTCCCTGTTTTCACTTACACGTCCCGATGACCCGGTGGGACAAGAAAACGTTGCCCTGGGTGTGCGTGCGGCGGGGTCAGTGGTAACCTCGCTAATTAATTAATCACCTCATTAAAGGAGTGTTTCCCCGGGGCCAGCTCTGGCCCAGGCGCCATGCCCAGAGCTGGGGATTCTAAAGGGAAGGAGACAGACGTGGCCCAGAGTCCACGGGGGGAAGAAATAAAAGAAGCCATGGAAAAATCACACTCGGGAGAAGCGCCGTGAGAGAGGGAGGGGCAGGAAGGAGACATGTCCAGGAGGAGGGACCCCGGTGGGGAACTGCTGCGGGCTTCCTGGAGGAGGTGGCAACTGAGTCTAGAGGTGAAAGAGGGAGACAGGCCCTAACTGGTTTGGCTCAGTGGATAGAGCGTCGGCCTGCACACTCAAGGGTCCCAGGTTCATTTCCTGTCAAGGGCATGTACCTTGGTTGCGGGCACATACCCAGTAGGGGGTGTGCAGGAGGCAGCTGATCCATGTTTCTAACTTTCTATCCCTCTCCCTTTCTCCATAAAAAATCAATAAAATATATTTTAAAAGAAAGAAAGAAAGAAAGAAAGAAAGAAAGAAAGACAGAAAGACAGAAAAGAAAGAGGGAGTCAGGTCCAGGTGGCTTGGGCAGTGACCCCATGTTGTTTAGGGATAGATGTGAGTCTGCTGGCATCATGGTTACCTGGGCACAGTGCCCCTGCCCCTCTGTGAGTCCCCCAGTTAGGTCCTCAGAGGAGGAGTCCACACCATGGGGACCCTCCTTCCCTCGGGCACCCCCTCCAAAGAGCTGCTAGAGGGGTGCAGGGTCTCCCTGGGTGCTTGCTCACAGGGCCCACCATCGCTCTCCCCAGATCCTGGCCGCCACCATCGACAACGCCAGCCTGGTGCTGCAGATCGACAACGCCCGCCTGGCCGCCGACGACTTCCGCACCAAGTGAGTCCGGGCCTCCGGGGCTGCTGGCCGTGGGTCCAGCCCTGTGCCTCACCGGGCCCTCCGTGTGCCCGGGGGCGGCCCAGGGGTCCCCCATGGCTCACGCCTCCGCCCCTCCCAGGTACGAGATGGAGCTGAACCTGCGCATGAGCGTGGAGGGCGACACCAATGGCCTGCGCCGGGTGCTGGATGAGCTGACCCTGGCCCGGGCCGACCTGGAAATGCAGATCGAGAACCTGAAGGAGGAGCTGGCCTACCTGAGGAAGAACCACGAGGAGGTGAGGCCCGCCGGGGGGTGACAGCAGGAGACACTCGCCTGGGAACGAGCAAGGCTGGGGCCTCCCGATCTGCCTGGGCCAGGGCCCTGCTCTGCACCCAGTGCCCATCCAGGGTGGGTGCCTGGCCCTGGCCCTGACCTGGGTGACCCTGGGAGGGCCCTGGGGGAGGCCCGGAGGGCCCTGTCCCCACCAGGATACTTCCCATGTCCCCGAAGGCACGGCCTGCTGTGAGGTGGCAGTTAGCGATCTAATGAGATTGCATTCTAAGAACACGCGTGCTGATTAATAGTTAATTAAAGGGGTGATAGTCATCTGCCCGGCACACGGCAGTGATTCACAGCAAAGGTCTCCGCTGGCACCAGCACCAGCGCTGCGAGAAAAGTGTGGGATCTCCCCTCCATCGGGACGAAACGGGGGCTCAGAGAGGCTCAGGGGTTTACCCAAGGCTGCACAGGCGTCTTTCCTCCAAACCGCCCGACCCATGTCCACATCCCGGTCCAACTCCACCCCTCTGCCACCTCCCCCCCTCCTTTTTCAGGGAACTCTGCATCCCGGGGGCCCCAAGACTCAACCCAAAACCCTGCAGGGGGGGCGGCTCATGAGCCTGTGGGCTTCCTTCTCAGCTGACCTCTGGGCTGCCCTGAGCTAGGGGGGCCCGAACCCCGAGCATCAGAAGCCCAGAAAGTGCCTCCGATGGGCTTTGGGGCTGGTGATAGGGAGGGCATTTCCTAATGAGACCTGGTCCTTGGGGCTGCTTTGTGGTCGGCAGTGGGCGACAAGGCGGGGAGCTTGTCCCGGCGCGTCCCCTGTCAGGACAGAGAGCTGGGGATGGACACACAGCACACACTGTGTGGATGGAACCGAGTGTGTGTTGGGGAAGATGTCCGATGTCCCCACAGCCCCGCACCTTGGAGCCGTGACAGCTGCCCCCACCTTCAGGGCGAGGAGCCGGTGGCCTGTCTGTGTGCCTGTCCATCTGGCATCGGCACCCGTCTCGCCCGGTGGAGAAGGCGGGCCGCAGGGTCGCTCTCCCTGGGGGGCCCTGGGTGAGCGCCCGCTCTCCTCTCTGCCCAGGAGATGAACGCCCTGCGCGGCCAGGTGGGCGGGGACGTGAGCGTGGAGATGGACGCCGCCCCGGGCGTGGACCTGAGCCGCATCCTGAACGAGATGCGCGACCAGTACGAGAAGATCGCGGAGAAGAACCGCAAGGACGCCGAGGACTGGTTCTTCACCAAGGTGGGTGGCCCGCGGGGGCAGGTGTGCGCACACCTGTGCGTGCCTGTGCCGCGCGCGGAGCGTGGGCTGGAGCACGTGTAGCCGCTCAGGCTGTGCCATCTGGAAGGACCTTCGGAAAGCGGTTGGACCAACCCTCAAGTTGGGATGCGGATGGCGAGGCCCCCAGAGAGGCCCCAGGCTCAGAGCTCACAGCATCCCCCACTGCGGCCTGGAAACCAGGTCTCCCCGCAGTCAGGGCTTCGCCCGCTCAGGCCTCTGCAGGTGTGTGTGTGTTTGGAGGCACACTCAGACCCTCAGGAAACACGTGGAGAAGTGACAGGTCCCCAGGACAGGACCAGGCACAGAAAGACAAGACCCAGCTGAAACCGATTTGGCTCAGTGGATAGAGCATCGGCCTGTGGACTGAAGGGTCCCAGGTTCGATTCCAGTCAAGGGCATGTACCTTGTCTGCAGGCACATCTCCAGTAGGAGGTGTGCAGGAGGCAGTTGATCACTGATTCTCTCTCATCGATGTTTCTAACTCTATCTCTCTCCCTTCCTCTCTATAAAAAAATCAATAAAATATATTTTTTTTAAAAAAGAAAGAAAGACAAGACCCAGGCCTGTCTGAGCCTTGCCCACATCTCAGGGGCAGTAGCCCATGCAGGTGCCCGCAACGCAGGGCGAATTCCGAACCGAGGGGGTCTGTGTGCACGTGTGTCTGGGGCCCCCAGAGGCCAGCGAGGCACTGGCGGGGCAGGTCTGGGAGGCCAGGGCTCGGGGGTGGCCCCTGTCCCCGGCCCCACCTCCACACGGGGCCTCCTGAAGCCCCACGGCCCTCCCGCTTGCAGACGGAGGAGCTGAACCGCGAGGTGGCCACCAACACGGAGGCCCTGCAGAGCCACCGGACGGAGATCTCCGAGCTGCGCCGCTCCGTGCAGAACCTGGAGATTGAGCTGCAGTCCCAGCTCAGCATGGTAGGGCTTCGTCCCGCCCCTCCCCGCCTCCCTGCCTCGGCCCTGTCATCACAGGGCTACCCCGGCTGCGTGGACCCCCCCCTCGGAGAACCAGACTCCCTCACCTGTGTCACTTCCACTGTGACAGAGCCCCTCACTGCCCCAGTGACCACCCCGCCTCGTTACTGGCTGCACCCACAACCCCCACGGGGGGCTCCTCCTGTGGGTGGGGAAGGGTCCCGGCTCCGTCTTACCCGCCCACCCGCCTGCTGGCCCACAGAAAGCGTCGCTGGAGGGCAGCCTGGCGGAGACCGAGGCGCGCTACGGGGCGCAGCTGGCCCAGCTGCAGGGGCTCATCGGCAGCGTCGAGCAGCAGCTGGGCGAGCTGCGCTGCGACATGGAGCGGCAGAACCACGAGTACCAGGTGCTGCTGGACGTGAAGACGCGGCTGGAGCAGGAGATCGCCACCTACCGCCGCCTGCTGGAGGGCGAGGACGCCCAGTGAGTGGGGGCGCGGGGCCCAGGCTTCCCCCCCGGGACAGGGGCAGCCCTGGCAGAGGCCAGGCGGAGGTGTGGAGGCTGGCAGGGGGTGACACAGAGACCGCTGGCTGGGGTCTGGGGAGCACGGAAAGCCGCCTTAAAGCAGGCTGAGTCAGTCGTGTAGGCATGGAGGGGCTTTGCACAGAGCCACAGGACATAACAGGCACAGAAAGACAAAACCCAGGAGGTCAAGAGGTCTCAGAGCATTCCCTCTGGCTGCAGACGGACAGCTGCATCCTCGAGGCCAGGGGGTCACGGGGGTCACGGGGACCTGCCAGGAGGCTGGAGCAGGGAGTCAGGCCGCCTGCTGGGTGGAAGGAGTGGGGGCACAGGCAGGGGCAGGGGCAGGCCGGGGTGTGGGGGCGAACCTGGCTCACAGCAGGATTCAATCAGAGCTGAGTGAGCATGCGAATCAGAGCTGAGTGAGCGCGTCAAGGCCTGGGTAACCATGACCCTGGGTTTCTGGTTCCCATGGCTCGCGGTGGGCGATGCCATTACCCAGGATGGGGTGCGGACCGGGGCGGCCATCTGGTTTGGAGTTGGGAAGGTGGATCGGGCCTACTGTAAAGGGGCCGAGACCGTCTTGGAGCCGCCATGCTTCGTCATGTATTCCAGCGTTTTTGTGTCCTGAGGATGGTGACGTCTACCTGTAGTCCAACCACAGTCTCTCTTGCTTCACTGGAGTCTATTTGCTGGGCCCTTCTCCTTGTAAACCCCGGGCTGGCTGCAAAGGGCCTCTGGGCCCCTTTCCGTACTCCTGTCCATTTTTGGGCCTGTGCCCTTTGACCTTGCGGTTGCTGTTCTTTTCCGTGCACTCCCAGTTGGGATTCCTCTGATTTTCTGGGACCTCTCTCCCTCACTCTGGGGCTCCCCAGCTGCTTCTCCTTCAGGGAAATGGGGCTCCCAGCCAGCACCCCTGGGCTGACGGTCCCCTCTCCCTCCCCGCAGCCTGGCCAACCAGTACTCCTCGTTCATGGCCTCACAGCCCACGCGGGAAGGTAAGAGTAAGCCCCATCCTGCCCAGGGGAGGTGGGAGAGTGGGAGGACCTTCTGTGTGGGAGACGGGGGGAGGGGCTCGGCCTGAGGTTCCCTGCCCCACCCCCTCCCTCTTCAGCCACGGTGACCAGCCGCCAGGTGCGCACCATCGTGGAGGAGGTCCAGGATGGCAAGGTGGTCACCTCCCGGGAGCAGGTCCACCGCTCTACCCACTGAGCCCTCCCCCCTCGCAACAGCCCAGCCTCGAGGGTCACGGGGCGGCCACCGCCTCCAGCCCCCAGCGCGCTGCTGCTGGGCCCCGCGCGCCCGTCGGGGCCTCGGCCTGCGAGCTGTTGCCTTTCTGTACCTGCTTCCCACCGCCCTCGCTGAGGGGCCGCCCGAGGTGGCCCCCGTGACCCCTATTAAAGCTTGGCCTGAAGTTCAATGCCTCCTGGGGTCCAGTGTGGTCATTGGTGTGGGGCCCTGTGGGCTGAGGGACTGGGGGCGAAGGAGAGTCCGTTCCATTTTGGGGTGGAGGATGCCTGGCTGGCGTGGCTCAGTGGTTGAATGTTGGCCTGTGAACCAGGAGGTCGTGGTTTGATTCCCCTCAATTCCCAGTGTGTGGGCTGCAGAAGCACCCGTCAGTGATTCTCTCTCATCATGGATGCTTCTATCTCTCCCTCTCCCAACCTCTCTGAAATCAATAAACATATCGATATATTTAAAGGGTAAGCTCTCACCTCACCCTGTGGCCCCTTGGGGTGGGGGAGGGCTAGGGAGGTGGGAGGGGGCCTGGCTTTCGGTTCTCCTAGTTCCCTTTGACCGTGAGGCCCTTCCCACAGCGGCCATTGCCCCATCTGGTAGCTCAGCTCCTCTCTGCTCCCTGGGCTCCCGGGAGGATGAGAGGGAAGGAGGAGGACGACCTAGGGCTCGGCGATGGGCCAGCCCCACAAGCGGGGACTGTGTCTAAGAATCAGCCCCTGGGTGGCCATCGCCTGTGCTGGCCCCTGGGAGGACCCCTGGCTTCCCTGGGAGTTTCGCCTGTTCTAGAAGCTCCCGCCTTCGCCTGGGTCTGGGGGGGAGAGGCTGGGCAGGGGGCTTCCTGAGGGTGGGCCGGAACATGGGTGGGTGAGAGGAGGTGGCAGCGGCACAGCCCGAGAGACCAGACCGGCTCTGCCCGGCTCGGGGTGTGTGTGAGGCGGGGTGACCACAGTGTCAGGGAGCGTGGGGGGCTGTCTTGTTTGCTTTGGTGGCTTGGCAGCCGCCGGGCTGTTGGGGAATCTCGGTCGGCTGCCGGCGGGGGCTGTCCGGGCCTGCCTGGGGAGTGGAAGCCATCGGCAGGCAGCCTGAGACACGACCACATTCCGCCCAGCCCGTCTGCTGGGGCCTGGAGCCTGGGACCCAGGCCGGGCCTGGGTGGGGGGCAGGGCAGGGGAGCGCTGAGGGGCGGCTCAGGGTCCATCCCGAAGGCCCACGTCAGGGAAGGCTGTGGGTGGGGGACTGGCTGGGAGGGTCTCAGGAAGGCCTCTTCTTAGGCAGTGTCCTTGGACAGGAGCGAAAGGGTAAGCTCTCACCTCACCCTGTGGCCCCTTGGGGTGGGGGAGGGCTAGGGAGGTGGGAGGGGGCCTGGCTTTCGGTTCTCCTAGTTCCCTTTGACTGTGAGGCCCTTCCCACAGCGGCCATTGCCCCATCTGGTAGCTCAGCTCCTCTCTGCCCACTCCAGCCCTCCGCCCCCGCGTCGGCGAGTCCCGGGGTTGGGGCAGGTCAGATCACTGGCCAGATGGACTTGCAGCCCCTAAGAGCGCTCCCCTGGGGCCAGGGCTGGGCAGAGGGGGGCGGGGGCAGGGGTCTGGAGCTGTGGGACGAGGGGTGAAACACCGCCAGGCAGTGGGACACGATCCCTCACAAGCCCTCGTCTCCTTAGCTGTAACATGGGGTGGTCAGCTGACACCTGACCATGTGACTGTGTTGTGTGCTGAGCCTGGTGGTTTAGGTCCAGATGCCAAGGCAGGATGGGGGCTCCATCCTCGCTGCCTCCCCAGCCCACAGCCCTGGGCGTGTAGCGTGGTGTGTCAGTAAGCTCAGGCTGGGGGCTGGGGGAGCTGCCGGGTTCCCTAACCTTTTCCCTACCGGGCCCAGGGCCCAGGGCCCAGGTGGGCCGGGGTGGGGAGGCAGCTGCCTGGGAGGGCCTGGGACAGTGACGTCCTGCCTCTCCTCTTCCCCATATTAGGTCATGGGAAAGCGTAGCTCCGGGGCCTGCCTGAATCACAGGTGACGGCTTAAGCACAGAGACAGGCGCACGCACATGCAGACGCCCAGCGATGGGGCTTCGGAGAAATGAGGCAAAACCCGGGGGTGGGAGGGGAGGGGGCCCACGGGCACCTGGGAGCTGGCTGCCAGCCAGGGGTGATGAAAGCCCAGGGGAATGGAAAGAGGAGCAAGCCTATTGTCATCGCCCACTCCCCCTTCCCGCCCTCCCCGCCCACTGCCCGGCCTGTTATAAAGGAGCAGGCGGGCCCCAGCAGCCAAGGCACCTCAGGCTTCTCCTCAGCAGCCCTCTCTCTCTCGCTCTGTGCTCCTGCTCTGTGCTCCTGCCTGCCACCCACTGCCACCACCATGACCACCACCATCCGCCAGTTCACGTCCTCCAGCTCCATCAAGGGCTCCTCCTCGGGTCTGGGGGGCGGTTCGTCCCGCACCTCCTGCCGCCTGTCTAGCGGCCTGGGTGCCGGCTCCTGCAGGCTGGGCTCGGCCGGCGGCCTGGGCAGCGCCCTGGGCAGTGCCCTGGGGAGCGGCAGCTACTCCAGCTGCTACAGCTTTGGCTCTGGCGGCGGCGGCAGCTATGGCAGTAGCTTCGGGGGCGTCGACGGGCTGCTGGCGGGCGGCGAGAAGGCCACCATGCAGAACCTCAACGACCGCCTGGCCTCCTACCTGGACAAGGTGCGCGCCCTGGAGGAGGCCAACACGGAGCTGGAGGTCAAGATCCGCGACTGGTACCAGAAGCAGGCCCCGGGGCCCGCCCGCGACTACAGTCACTACTACCACACCATCGAGGACCTGAAGAGCAAGGTGGGGCGCCGGGGAGGGGGCTGTGGGGGGCCGTGGCTTCTCCCCCAAATCCTGCCCAGCCTGGGACCCAGCCCGGGCGCTGTCACAGGGCCTCAGGGGGCCCAGGACGGCTCGGCTCTGGGGTGGCCTCTGGGAGCCCAGCTTGGGGGCTGCTCTCTGGCTCATGTTATTCATTTTTTGGGGCGGGGCAAGCAGGCCTCAGGGAGCTCCTTCTAGTCTCCTTGTCCTCATCCCAGAGCTTCTTGCCAGTTCGTGGGTGACAGGACCAGGCGAATGGGCACATCTCGGGGACTGGGCGGGCTCGGGAGGCTGCAGGGTGTGTGGGCACCTCTCTCCTCGGAGCCTGAGGGGGTTTGGGGCAATGGCGGGGTCAGGGGTCTGAGTGAGCATCAGTGGCACCTGCTGGGAGGCGGAGACAGGAGAACGGGGGCGGGGCCTCAGGAGGCCTCCTGGGAGCCTTATTTGGGTATTTTTCTGGCTTCCCCATCCCTCCTGCTGCTCCCTCAAGAACTGGGCTGAGCCAACAGGGGGGTGGGGGATTAGGGGTGCAGAAGGGGGGGTGGGGAGCTGCCCTCTGGAGCCCTCAGGCAAAGTTTAGCAGGAGTGGAGACTTCTGGTTGGAAAACACTCTTTAGTGAGGACTCTTAGCCTTCCTTTTGGGGGAGACTCTCGGGGGCACCATCTCCCCAGCTGTAAAGTGTGGGGGTTGCCCACATCCCCGCTGCTTTCTGGGCTTCTGGGACAGCTTCTGCCGGGAGGCATCCCCTGCCCCTACCTCCCTCCCACCCACGTTCTGGGGCTCCCCTCCCACCACCTGATTCCCAGCCTGAGAGCCCCCAGGTGGGCGGGCTGCCTGCTCTGGGAGTCAGCTAGGAAGGTAGGTCCTGGGGGGACTGGAGGCAAGTTTCAGCACATTAAACTCATGCTGGCCTGAGGGCTTTGTTAACAATTATGCGCAAGAGAGGAGAGAGGCTGGGCGGGGGGCGGGAGCCCTCCTGAAGCAGGCGGCCACCTCCTGGCCCGCAGGCAGGAAGGCCCAGCTCTGAACCCTGGTCAGGGTTGAACCCCCTGCACCCCGTGACCCGACTATCCCCCCACTTCCCCAGATCCTCACGGCCACGGTGGACAACGCCAGCATCCTGCTGCAGATCGACAACGCCCGTCTGGCTGCCGACGACTTTCGTACCAAGTGAGCCTTCACCGCTGAGCCGGAGAGGCCCTGGGGCCCCCCTCCCCACCCAGGGACCCCTCAGTTGCTTGTGATACCGGCCAAGAGCCAGGGGTGTGGGGGGATGGGAGAGTCTACCTCGTAGTCCGGGGTGCAGCAAATTCGGAAGGTCCCGGGCTGAGGTGATGGATAAGAGAGAGCAAGCGGAGGCAGGAGGGAGAAGCAGGAAGCCAGGTGGGGTATGGCCTTGCCCTGCCTGTTCCCAGGGCCCCAGCGCTGGAGCTTGCTCCCACCCCTCGCCATCTTCATTCTTCATGAGCCTCAGGGCGCCCTGGCGGAAGCAGGGTGCTCGCCAGGACCCGGCCCTGCCCGTCCCAGTGTCCAGACGGAGGTCTCTGGGTTCCCTTCGCAGGTTTGAGACGGAGCAGGCCCTGCGGGTGAGCGTGGAGGCGGACATCAACGGCCTGCGCCGGGTGCTGGACGAGCTGACCCTGGCCCGGGCCGACCTGGAGATGCAGATTGAGAACCTGAAGGAGGAGCTGGCCTACCTGAGGAAGAACCACGAGGAGGTGAGGCGGGCGGGGTAGCAGGTACTCCAGGCTGGCCACCTGGTAGGGCTGCCCTGTCTGAGGGGCCCTGACCCCCGGGGGTCCAGAGCCAGCAAGCAGGCCAGCCTCCTTCCCTCTTCCCTGCATCGGAGGGACCTCCCAGGGGCCCACAGAGGCGTCTTCGGCCCTCCCCTGCTTTCACCTCCCTCCCAAGGACAGGCCCTAAGTGAAGAGGTCCCCCTGTCCTAGCCCAAACCCTTGAACCAGGGTCCCATGCAGCAGTTTGGAAATGAGAGGGGATATTCTGGGGGACAGGCCTGAGAATGAGATTTTATCTTTGGGGGGAGACACAGAACCTGCCCGCAGTCTGACGAGGGAGGCAGAGCCCGTACAGAGCAGGTGAACTCGTGGTTGGGAGGGTCAGGGGGCAGAGGGCAGGCAGAATGAGGGAGGGGTCTGGAGATCCTGCATGGTGGGAGTGAGAGAGCGGGGCATGCCCGGACGCCCACGTCACATTCCCCGTCCCCCACAGGAGATGAACTCCCTGCGAGGCCAGGTGGGAGGCGAGATCAACGTGGAGATGGATGCCGCCCCGGGCGTGGACCTGAGCCGCATCCTGTCCGAGATGCGCGACCAGTACGAGAAGATGGCGGAGAAGAACCGCAAGGACGCCGAGGACTGGTTCTTCAGCAAGGTACGGGCTGCTGGGGCAGAGGCCTCGCCCAGAGGCTGGGGAGGCTGGGGTGCAAGAGCCGAGCCCCCGCAGCAAGCCCAGGGCCTGGCATCCTGGGGGCACCTCTCCTCAGTGAGCCAAGCGCACCCAGGAGTTCCGGCTCGCCCATGGCATCCACGGCTGGGAGCTTGGCTAAAGCTGGGATGTGGGGGTGGGTGGGGAGCCCCACTCAGGAGCACAGCCAGAGGAGACAGGCCCCGGGACCCTCCGCCTGTCCTGTAAGAAGGCAGGAACCGCCATCAGGGGCCTGGCTACAGATCCTTAGCAGGGGAGGGGAAGGCACCCATTAGAGTTCTCTTTTTTTTTTTTTAAATATTTTTTTTAAAATATATTTTATTGATTTTTTACAGAGAGGAAGGGAGAGAGATAGCTAGAAACGTCGATGAGAGAGAAACATTGACCAGCTGCCTCCTGTACACCCCCCACCTGGGATGTGCCCGCAACCAATGTACATGCCCCCGACCGGAATTGAACCCGGGACCTTTCAGTCCGCAGATGGACGCTCTACCACTGAGCCAAACCGGCTTCAGCCCATTAGGGTTCTCAAGTTTCCTACTCTTGTACCTTCCACCTGTGGGATTAAGGTTAAAACTGAACATACTCCCAAGGTTTCGGGGCTTTGGGAAGTGGGAAGCTGAGGAGAGACAGTCCCCGCACAGTGAGGCTGAGGAGGAGGGCTGAGTGGCCCAGGGGAGGTCAGCAAGGCGAACAGGGTCAGGGTCATGGGGTGTGTGTATGTGTGTGTGTGTGGGTGGGGGCGGTGAGCATGCACCTGTCTGGGCACAGAATGGGTCCTGGGCTGAGGCTGTGCAGGGCGGGGTGGTGGTTGTCTGACTCGCAGACGGGATCCCAGGCCCGCTCAGCACCGTCCGTCCTGTGTTCTGTCCGCAGACCGAGGAGCTGAACCGCGAGGTGGCCACCAACACGGAGCTGGTGCAGAGCAGCAAGAGCGAGATCTCCGAGCTCCGACGCACTGTACAGGCCCTGGAGATCGAGCTGCAGTCCCAGCTCAGCATGGTAGGGGGGCGGCCAGGCCCGGGGCGGGCTCCCGGGGTGGGGGGCCCACAGGGGGCATCCACCACCACCCACTCTGACCCCCTGCGCCTCCCGCCTTCCCGCAGAAAGCATCCCTGGAGGGCAGCCTGGCGGAGACGGAGAACCGCTACTGCGTGCAGCTGTCCCAGATCCAGGGGCTGATCGGCAGCGTGGAGGAGCAGCTGGCCCAGCTGCGCTGCGACATGGAGCAGCAGAACCAGGACTACAAGATCCTGCTGGACGTGAAGACGCGGCTGGAGCAGGAGATCACCACCTACCGCCGCCTGCTGGAGGGCGAGGACGCCCAGTGAGTGGGGGCCTGGGGCCGGGGCTGGGGGCGGGGCTGGAGATCTCAGACCCACAGCTGATCTCCCCTCTCTGTTTCCTTTGCAGCCTGACTCAGTACAAGCCCAAAGAACGTAAGAATCTCGGATTGTGGTCTCTGCGGGCGGGGCGGCACGGGGCACGCACCCATCTGCACCTTGCTGGGGGAGGATCCCCCCGGGCTCCAGGAAATGATGGCTGATCCTCAGTGAGGCTGGGGGAAGGGACCCATTAGGGTTCAAGGTTGATGCTCAGGGCAATCAAGGAGACACGGTCTGGCTCAAAAGGCTGGGAGATGGTCCTTCATCCTGGAGTCCTGCTCTGACGGGGGAAACATGGTCCTAACTCCGGAGACCGACCTCTGATGGGGGGGCAAGGACCAGGTCTTGTGACCTTTGCCCTGAGACCCTGTACATGAGCGAAAGCCGTCCCGACTCTGGCTCTAGCCTGGCGGGGGAACGGGGCTTGGTCCTTGTCCTCAGATCCCAGTCTGATGGGGGACATAACATCCTAGCCTGGCGGAGGCAATGGGGACCAGGGGCTGGCCTTGGGGAGCCCAGCCCAGGCTGATGGGAGAGATAGGAGCATAGACCATGCCCTGGAGATGGCAGAGAAATGGAGTTAGACCCCATGTGTGGGCACCCCGTCTGCGAGGTCCCGGTCTTTCAGAAGGACACGTGGGTCAGAATCACCCCACCCACCTGGGGGCCGGGGCACCAGCAGCAGGACGTGTGTGTGTGTGTGTGTGTGTGTGTGTGTGTGTGTGTGATGCCGAGGAGCAGCAGAGGCATGGACAGAGCCGTGGCTGTGGGGGAAAGACTCTCTGGGCCCCCGCCCGCCTCTGACTGTCCATCTCCTGCAGCCGTGACCACCCGCCAGGTGCGCACCATTGTGGAAGAGGTGCAGGACGGCAAGGTCATCTCCTCCCGAGAGCAGGTCCACCAGACCACCCGCTGAGGACACTGCTCCCTGTCCCCTGCCCCCAGGGCCCTCATCAGCCCTGCAGCCTCGACCTCCCCAGCCTGAGCCCCCTGGCTCCCCGTACCTTCCCCACGCCCCTGCCTGACCAATAAAGCTTGTTAACTCAGACGTGGAATGCCTCCTGATTGTGGCCACTGATTGGCCCCAGGGAGGGGTGGGTGAGCGGAAGCGGGGGCGGGGATGGGGCAGGGGAGGAGTCCGAGGATGGACGCCCCTGGGATGGACGTCACTGTTGTTGACGTAGAGCACATGTGTCAAACACAAGGCCCACAGGCCAAATCCGTCCCGCCAGGCCTTGCAATGTGGCCCGCACCGCGCTGTCATCACTGCACTCCGCTGCGTTTCCATCACAATGACAGTTTATGACTGTTCAGTAAACCATTCGGCCCGCGATTTAGGCTGGATTTTAGATTTTGGCCCCTTCTCTGATTGAGTTCGACACCCCTAATGTAGAGCCTCAGACCCAGGTAAGGAGTAGGTCTGGGCAGAGCTTGTGTGCGGTGGTCCCAGGGCCGGCGGTGCAGGCCGGGGGAGACCCGAGTGCGGTCAGTGTATGGGGGTCTTAGGTGACCTCCTCATGGCCTCTAAGTGGGTGTGTGGCCTTGGGCAGTCGCTTCCTTTTGCTGAACCTCATTCTCTCATCTGTACATGGGGGAGCAGATTACAAGTGTGGGAGCTAGAGGTCCAGGGAATGTTGCATCACTCCTCGAGGTCTCCATCTAAGAGGGGACAGGGTTGGGACAGGACAGTCTGGGTTCTCTTGGGAGAGGCACCGGGGGAGGGGAGATGGTTAGGGTCCCCCGTTGCCTAAGAGAAAGGTGGAGTCTCCCAGGAATGTTTTCTTAAATGGTCAGCTGCCACTTGGGATGGGGTGCTGGGGCGTAGGTGGTAGTGGGGAGCAGCCCCATCCTGCCTGCAGGTGGGGTGGTGGGAAATGCATCCTGGAGAGGGGCCGGGGCAGCCCCGCGCAGCCCCACCCAGGACCCTCTGGGCCCCACCTCTTTCAGGTGAGGAGCAGCTGGGAGGAGCCAGACACCAGGAAGTCTGCCTTTGAGTAAATCCGGAAACCATGGGGTGGGGCGAGCCTGCTTTCCTGGTTTTCTTGGAGAAGTGGGAGTGGGTGGAAGGGATGAATAAGGGATGGGGCTGCCGCCCCATCAGACCTGGGTGTCCCAACACCTGCTGGATCCTGGTGCCTGGAGAGGAGGGCGGGGCTTGGGCGGGTAGGGGGCAGGAGCCGGTGGGGCAGTGGCAACAGCGGCTGTCTAGGAAGTGGGCAGCTGGGGTTGGGCTTTGGGCAGGCCCCAGACCCACGCTGGACCCCAGAAGCCACAGGAAGCGAGGAGTGAGATGAGTCCCAGCTAACGGCCCTTCTGGCCCTCATACTGGGGAGCCCACGCCTGCAGAGGCCACTGGCTCTCCAGGGGCTGGGCCTGCAGGTGTTGCTCTGTCAGAGGCTGACGCCTCTCAGCCGCCTGAGCAGCAGCAGGAAAGGATTCAGGATGGGCAGGTGGCATCGTATCCCAGGCCCCGCTGCACATCCGGCCACAACCAGCAGAACCAGCCCTGGGCTGAGGACGGCTGCTCCGGGGGGTGATCTCATTTGTTTGAACAGCCTTCCTAGGAAGCAGGAGGCTCTGGGAAGAGAAGAGGCGCCTCCTGTGTGAACGGGGACACGGAGGCTCTGAGGAGCTGTGACTCAGCCCTTACCTGGAGCCTGGCATGTCAGGGGTGGAGCAGGTGCTGCCGGAGGCGGAGACGCTGTGCTGGGAAGAGGAACCCAGAGCCCCACCTCCTGCCCAGCCTCAGGCTGGGAGGCAGCGGTTCTCTCTCCACAGACCGGGCTCCTCCCACGATGCAGCGTGCGGAGGAGTCAGTGTGGGGCTGGCCAGCGCTTCTCTTCTTGTTTATTTTATTTTATTTTATTTTATTTTATTATTTTATTTTATTTTATTTTTATTGTTGCCCCTCTGCTGGGGAAGGAGACCTTGCCCACAAAGTGAGGGGGTGCGTGGCTCAGAAGGTCATAAGAGGGGAGCAGCCCGATGTGCTGAGAACTGAGTTAGGAGAGGCAGAGGCTGCCATGCTGGGGTTGGGGTTCACGGGAGACAGTCCTGGGCCCCAAGGGGATGCCCACTCTCTCCGGAAGTGCTCAGCCCAGGCCTGGGCAGGGGGGGTCGCGGGGCACAGACTAGGTTCAGGGGACTATGGCCTCTGGGGGGTGGCATGAGAATCTTTGGTGGCTTTTTTCGGGCACCATTGCCTATGAATTGGAAGACCCAGCTGTGGGCGTTATACAGAGTCTCACGGTTCATCCGTACTCACCCATGTTTTGCACCGAACAGTTAGTGGGTCGGTCACTGCCCTCAGTGTGCCTCACCCACTCTGTTAGGATGGACCCCCACCCACCTGATTCCCAGGCTCAGACCCTAGGGGTCACCAGCCCCTGAGACTCCTCCACGTCCTGGGATGCTGACCACAGGCAATACACTGCCCATGGTACTGCCCGCTCTGTGCCTGGGTCTGCATGGGGCCTGGGGGAAGCTAGAGACACCGGCCCTGGTCTGCAGGGACCCTAGCCTAGGAGCGTGAGCACTGCACAGTGGTGGGCTGACAATATGCCCTTTGCCTAATGCAGTGTGGACCTCCTGTGCCACCCATGCTGTGGGTGGCTGAGGAGACAGCGGGCCCAGAGCCAGGACAGTTCTCCCACCAGGCACAGGACTCAGGCTGCAACTGACATTGACCCAGCCATGGGACTCCCTGAGGGTGTGTAGACCATTGTGAGGGGCCATGACAGCCCCTGCCCGGGGGGAGGAGGGGCATCAAACACGGGGGAGCTTGGCGTTCAGGTTCACCCAGATCCTGGGACCAGTCATGGGGCTAGCGCCTGAGGCAGGGACATTTGTTCACCCCCAGAGAGCTTGCCCCACCCCCTGCAGCCCCTCACAGCTGAGCACACTCTACTGGGATTGGCTCTGCCCCCAGTCCTTCCAAATGGTATGCCCTCAGCGTTTCTCTTCTTGTTTTTTTTGTTTTGTTTGTTTTGTTTGTGTTTGTTTTTTAGTGTTGTTTTTGCACATCAATGCACATAGTAGGTGCTTTATAAATATCTGTGAATAAATGTAATATGGCCACCAGTCTGTGCTTTATTTATTTCATCTCTAACATGCCTGTGAAGTAGTGCTGATCTTCCCATTTCCCAGAGAAGGAAACTGAGGCCCAGAAAGACACAAAGTCTTGTCCAATATCTGGTCCTTGCTTGCCTGACTCCAGACTGCTCTGTCCTGGCCCATCCAACCTCTTCTCCCTTCATCCTTCCCTGGAGCCCATGGATGTGGCTGCCACCAGGAGCTGAAGGCCCTGCAGCCCCCTCCTCACTCCCCTCAGCATCCCTGGGGCCTTCTTCCCCCAGGCCTGGCTGGTTACTAGAAAGAAAACAGTCCTAGGACCTACCTTGTCCTGGTGATGCTGTGCAGTGGGCTGAGGCTGTGCAGTGAGCTGATGCTGTGCAGTGGGCAGAGACTGTGCAGTGGGCTGAGGCTGATGCAGTGGGCAGATGCTGTGCAGTGGGCAGAGACTGTGCAGTGGGCTGAGGCTGATGCAGTGGGCAGATACTGTGCAGTGGGCAGACGCTGTGCAGTGGGCTGAGGCTGATGCAGTGGGCAGAGGCTGTGCAGTGGGCTGAGGCTGATGCAGTGGGAAGATGTTGTGCAGTGGGCAGATGCTGTGCAATGAGCCAGAACAGGGCCCAGGGATCTGGATAGAATGCTGGTAATCAGTCAGATTTGTGAATCTGGCAAGTGGAGGCATGGCATTGGCCAATAGTATTTCCTGGCAAACTCTGGGATGAGATGACCTCATACCTGAGATGGGACGGCCCCAGAAGAGGGGAATGAGGTGAACCCACTTCCTGGAGGTGCTCTGTGCCCACCTGGCCTGGGGATTCCGGCGCTTGGCAACTTTGGGGCAGGTGTAATGGAGGAAATGCTCCCCACTCCTCTGCCAACTCAGATCGTCTGAGGCCCAGCTGGAGCCTCCGCTGGTTCAGCCACCTTCCCAGGAGGGTCTCAGAGGCAGCCCCTCCTTTACTGCGGGGCTGGGAGCTGGTAATACTCACCCAGCTGCATCCTGAGGACAGAGTGTCTCCGGGTTTCTGGCACTCGGTGCTGCATCCCCACCTCAGTGTTCTCCCCGGGTCAAGTCATAAGGTCCAAGGTCAGTGACTGTATCACACCCCCTGCGCCCCCAATGCCAGGCGTGTGGTGGGTGCTTGGTCTGTGGTGTTGACTGAGTGGTTCAATGGGTTGGTCAGCAACTTTATTCCTGCAGCTTCTCGGCCCAGCCAGCTCCCTGGGCCTTCAGTGCTGGGCCTGTGTGCACCCCTCCCTGCACCTGCAGGGATGGGGGAGGGGCAGTGATCCAAGTAGAAAGGAGGCAGAAGCTGTGTGGGGGACAGAGAGGGAAAGCTCGAAGAACAGGGTTCGGGTTTGAGTCCCTGCTCCCTGGCTGTGTAACCTGGGGAAAGTCTCTCTCTCTCTTTGGTGGGAGCTTGGTGGCCTTTGGTGACCTCAAAGGTCATGTCCAGTTCTGAGGGTGATGAGTCTGGAGTCGGCCCTGACCTCCAGGCCCGCCCTGACACCTGGGTTGGTAGGATTTTTTTCGTCCAAAAATTCCAAGCCCCCTTTACCTATTTGCAGAGTGTGGGGAGGGAGGGAGCATCTCCCAGGCTTAGTCCTAAAGGCGTGTGCTGGGCACCAGCTCTGCTAATACCACTGGCTCTGTGCCCACAGCCAGATGACTGATGGGGTGCCATGCAGCACTGGCAAAGCCCGGCTGTGCTGAGGCAGAGAGTTTCAGGGTGGTATCGCCCAGCAGAGCTCAGGCTGAGGCAGGCCCTCCCTACTCCTCGCCTCGACAAAGGCACTTCCGAGCAAAGACCATGGCCAGCTCTGTGGGTCTCCCCTCAGTCCCCCACCCCCCAAGGAGGCCTCTGATTTTGGGTCTAGACCCTCCCGATCCTGCCTCCAGCCCTTGGGCCAAGGTCATGCCCACTGTGGGCAGAGCGCCTTCCAGGTCGGTAGATGAGCACAGACACACCTTGGTCC